TTAAAGATGGTTTATTTACTGAACGTGCTGATGTCCATTATCTTAACATTAAAAAAGAGCATCTTTTTTATCGAGCCTGTTTTTTGTCCTCCGGCATTTCCTAAATTATCACACATAATTAGATGATCTCACTGCTCTGAGTTCATTGAAGGCCCACGGGGGGGGCCGGCAGACCTCGGGGTGGAACGTCTCGATCTTGTCAGAACATACTGCAGCTTTTGTTGTGATGAACTGGTCCTGGGGTAGACAAGTATCTGTTTTTAAAGAGCCGGGACGATGAAACAGATTCCTTTTTATCGTGAGTACACAGAGTGGACACATTAACACAGACTGGACTTGTACAGGCTCTTTGTCTCTGACTGCAACATATGTTTGAGAAGCCTGAACATGTCAGGGCATTGGTCTTAAATCTACAAGAGTCTTCTGTGATGAACCTCGAATAAAAGAGACGGAAAATTGAAAAGAGCGATTCCAGACTTGACCTTTTTCTTTCATCATCTTCACTTAACGTACTTCTTCTAAAACACACAAATTTGGAAATGTGACTACTGCCAACTCACAGCATCTTGCACCCACAGAAGACAACACAGCTTCTTGTTTATACGCTTGTTTTTTTAGCCGTCAACAGCCCCACGGGCATTAGCAAAAAGCCCCCCCCCCCCCCCCCACCCCACCCAAAAGACTCTCAAACCCTGCACAAAGCGTCCTGCTGTACTTGGAGAGGACACTCATTGGTATTTTTTTTAACTAGCATGCTTTGGGCATTCCATGATAGTCCAGCCAGGATACATTAACAAGAATGCCCTCATTTGCAACGCGAGGCTAGAAGAATAGGCCACTTTGTCTCCCAGTTAAGCAGCTAACGTGCTTTGTGGAGGCGGCAGACAACAACTGTGATGCTAATGTGAGCAGCTACTTCAGAGCAGACCTGCTGCAGCCCTCTCCACCTCGGAGTCGCTGTCATGCCTTTATGCAAAAGGGTTGGCTGATTGCAGACTAAAAACAAACCGTGTGCAGTGTTTCCCCTAGGTTTAGAGCTCTGGGGGGGCGGGGCGTGGGGGGGTCCTGCGAGTTGTTCCTGCAACTCCCGTTTCTGAGCGCACCTGAATGCATCTCTCATTGTCTGAGCACCCCTGAATGCAGCATGCTAACAGCGCATCCCCTGAGTAACGGCAGAGAGGGAGAGACATGCCCAGTAAGCTAAGCAGACTACTTTCTTTTCTGATGCTTCTTAAAGACTTTTTATTATTGCGTGTGCGTCCGTGAGACACAACCACACACACCCAGACCTCCGCTGGTGAGAGTGTGCTCACCTGTGTGCGCGCAAGTGTCTGTGTGTGTTACAGAGAGCAGAGAATTGTAAACGTGTGTTAGTACGAATTTTCATGAAATTCATTCATCTTGGTAATTTTGTGAAATGTACTATTTAAGTGTGTCTACCACCTGTTAGCACTCCTACTTTTGGGTGTCTGAAGCTGTAACCTTATATGGGTGAAACACCTAAATTGCAGCAGATTTTTATTTGTGTAGGAGTCAAACATATGTTGTCAACAACTGTTTGCTAGACAAAGAGTCTACATCTGTTATGTATACAAATCAGTGTCATGTTGTCTTTATTGTTTTATAGTGATGTACCCAAATGGAAAGGAATTTGTGGGTTGCAACTTTTAACAGAATATAAGCAGCACTGTGAACACTGTTACTTTGTCAGCGATTTGTAAGCATGCGTGTTTGGTTGTCTGACCTTGACCGATTAAATGGCGTTATAATCTTTAGTCTGTTTCACGTTTTCTTCATTGGATTTATACAGCAGAAACAACCCCCACCTAACAACGCGCGACCATGTAGAGACAGAAATGACATGCTGTCGTGTAAATAAGATAAATAACATCAGGCTATTAAGTTTGGTTAATAAAAGGAGGCGGTATAGACCTGTTCTATAGGAAAGGTATCCTTTTGACTTCTGTTGTGATCTGGCGCTAAATAGAAAATAAAATGAACTTGACCATCAAGGGGGGGGCGGGGAGTGCCGTTGGGGGGGGGGCACCCCTAATATAATGGTAGTCGAAACACTGGTGTGATCTTAAATGATTAATGCTGTGCTCAAATTTGCATTAGCTAAATAACAGGCTTTACGTGTGCAGCTGGCAAACAATAAGAGAGCTAATAAAGTTAAATAGAGCAATATTGTAAAGCCACAGGTTATACAGTGCAGGGAGCAATGCAACAATCTTATAAAGGATAATAAAGAATAAAATGATTAATTCCCACTGCTCTTTCTACCTTTTGTTTATTTTGCAAAGGATGAATGTACACAGTAACACTTTTTTTTTGCTGCTGTGTTTGTTTGCAGTATATTTGTAGTTCTACATTTATTACTTTTATTTTTGAACCACTGTGGGTTTTTTCATCGAATTTCTGAATTCATCCTGAAACTATTCATATCTGTTGAGGTCATGCTTTTGTCCAATTGTTGTGAGAAAACCTATAAAATGTCAATCATAATCAATAATCAGTAACATGCATTATATAAGTGTTCCACGGCATATATTGAAATTGCAAATGTGAAGCTCTTTTAGTAAGTTAAGAGATTAAAAAATATGCAATTTTATCAAATGTCTTTTTGCACTGATTGAAATATCTTTGCACACTTTCTGATGCATTATGGTCACGAGCTACACTCATTGTATAATCCAATAGAATCGTACAATTTGTACTTTGGGGGGGTAGACGAGTACTTTGTTCTTTTCATGGCACCATAATTCCTTTGGAGGAAAAAAAAAATTGTACAAATCATTTTTTAACCCTTTTAGGAAGTCATCCTACACAAATTTTCAAAGCCGTGTTTTTTTCTTCTTTCTCTTAAATATGCCGTGGAATGAAAGCAGTGGGAGCTAATTATGAGCATTCTTCACTGAATTAGCGTTCGGTGTGTGGTAAGGCTGTGCTCGCCTTTGTCTTGATCCCTAAACTGATCCCTTACTTATTCCCCAGAAGGTCAGAGGTCACTTGGTTAATTAAGGGTCCAATCAGTCTTTAGATAAACTCATCTGAGCTTAATGTTTGCACTTTTTGAGGTCCAGCAGCTCTGCCTGGTACCCCTGAGCTGTGTGTGCGGACTGTGCTAATCTACCCACAGACAGGGGAGCAGGTTAACCCAGCTCAACAGCGCCAAGCTGGAACGGCCTTTTCATTTGAGGGCTTCAGTCAATGAAGAATGTCTGTAAGCTCCGGCCAAAGCAGAAAAATTACTCTAACTTGATGTATTGTACGCAGGCCCAGGGTTTGGGTTGGGGGGCGTCCTAAACCTCTCAAAGAGCTGCAGATTATAGGGAGTAAGTAATGTTTACGCTGCATGAGGAGGGAAGTGTTTTCAATGGATATACTGTATTTGTCTTGCGCTTGCTGGCCCATGCCACACACATCCAGGGTGCTGAAAACACGGCTGAGCAAAGTAGCCATGAAATCTCCGCATGTATTGTTGATGGGATTTAGTTCAAAAAAAGATTATTCACCAGCTCCCACAAATCATTACTTTATACTTAACCTAATGTGATGTTAGAACTTATATAGACGTATCCTTCAGGAGAGATCTCCATTGAGGAAACTTCACGGTCCATATTATTTCAGCTACATATACGTTTTCTTAACAGCAATGTCTGAGATGACATTACTCTTAATGACTCCACATCAAAGGCATTATTACATGAATATGCACATTTGATGTTAATTAAAGGCAGATAGTGTTGGCACCTAGATTTTTTAAATTTCTAGTCATTTTTGAAAGTCCAAACACACACATTCACACTACTGACCTTACTGACGGACACACTCACACATGTTTGCAGTTCTCATTTCATTAGTTTACTTTCTTACAATAAATCATTCACTGGTTTCTTTCTCATATTTGTCATGGCCCTTGAGCCAGGCTTTGACAAGTTGCACAACACTTTCCTGTCTCACACATTTTCTTTAACAAAAGAAAAGAAAAAATAGTAATATCATAATTGACGGCGACACCACAAGCTCATTAGAGAGAAGGAGCATATAAAAACGCACACACGCATATACAAGTACACACGTGTCGCCATGTCAAACTTTTCCATTATCTTCTCAACAAAAATATACACTAAAGATCACATTTTCCAAAGAACAAATACAAAACTGTAGTTTAGCGACTTGTTGAGTTTTTCAGGAAAAGAAAAAAAAGAGAACTAAACAAAATCTTTCTACTTTGCCGAACTTGCCAAATAACACAAACAAGAATCACAAACCCACTTTTTTTTTTTTTTTTTACACCTTTAAGCACTAAATTAGAGGAAAATGCTCAAGACACAAAGAATACATGTGACCACAAAACTTCTGAATAACAGCTGCACATGTTCACCAGTGCACGACTCAGCACAAAAAAAACAAAAAAAAAAGTTCTTAACGCTATTTCCTTGAAAATGATAAAAACTCTTTTGGAATCGCACATAGAAGAGAAACCAGGAAAACTTACCAAACTGTGTGGTTATAACGTGCCCTCCTATGCAACGCTCTCTACTCGCACAGAAAATCTCAACAGTGTCCCGTCCCTTTGGACTGCCAGCGAATCAAAGCTATGAAAAGATGTGAATCTAGCTGAGCAAATAGGATTAAAGATGGCTAAACCCAAATGGCTGGAAGCACAGCATGCATTAAAGAGGAATTCTCTCAGGAAAGATAATCCCCATATACGCATTTTAACACACTTCACTCACTCCCCGTTTTTTCCCTTTTTTTTCACACACAGTTGTAGTAAAACCACAATTGCTTGACTGTCCACACACACACACACACGCATGGCTCAATAAACTCTATAAATACAGCTCTGCATGGGGCGTTCTGACTACTACAGTGACACATGCAGCTTCTAAATCCAGAGGTGGAAAACTTTACACTGTAAAAAACATTGACAAATGACATATGTTGTGCGCAATTTCCCAAATTCCACACATACTGGAACCACAGATTCTTACCTTTAATACCTCAATCGGCACCTGTGCAGAAGGTGGCAAACTGGCCGGCACGCTGACATTGATAGCGGGGGTCTGTGCCGCAGTGCTTTGTGGGTACTGAGAGGCCTGTTGTCTCTGCTGCTCCCGCCGCTCCTGCTCTTGAAGCTGCTCCCGCATCAGCTGTTGGCGCAGGAGGATGCGTGATGTCATGGCCGAGGAGCTCAGCGGGGGCTTGGACGAGCTGTGCTGGTCCGACGGGCTGCTGCTGGAGGGAGAGAGAGATGGGGGAAAAAAGAAAAGGAAAAGATATCAGAACGGGAGGGATATAGAGAAGGAAAAGAAAAGGGGGTGATAACAGAGAGAGGGTAGAGTGAGGTCAGAGGAGGAAGGAGAGGTCAAGCAAGAGAGACGAGAGAGGAGGGAGATTAGGGGGAGAGGTGAGAGGAAGAAAAGAAGACGAAGGGAAGGCAGTTTTTTTTTTTTTTTTTTTTAACGTGAAGGTGGATAGGGCCGGAGATCAAAAGAAAAGATCGGAATTTTGGAGCAGCAACGATTAACCAAGCAATTGACTAGTGAATAAATAGACAGACAGACAGATATTTAAACTCTGATATAGAAGTCCTAGGCACCCAGTATTGGGACATTTCTTAGTCACTTCTTTGCAGCAGCTTTTTGGTTAAAAATATGTCGAAAGATCTGTAGTAAAAAGAAGAAAATAACTTCAGTAGCTATTAATATTATTTATCATTAAAATAATGGAAATTGTATCATTTGAAAAACACAGAGTATCAAAAAGTATTGATAATCAAAAATATGATGTTCAGATATTGTTTTTTTTTTCCATTCCCGATACCAGTTCTGACCATGAGTTCTCAGTAAAAGCAAACACTGAGCCCCCCTCCATCAACAATGTGATAAAATAAATGTATTAAAAAAAAGGATTGCTGACATTTGCTACCTTTGACTGACAGTAAACTATCACTGCAATATTGTCGTCTGTTATTGTCACAAAATAATGAACATGAAGCTTAGCTTAGATATTTTTGACCCAATACATTTTGTAATTTGATAGATGCATTGATCAATACTGAGTCTATATTTGAGGCTGGATCGAAGCCGATACCAGTATTGGTTTCAGAAACCAAACTTCTCTAGCCTCTTTCGCATTGCCAGTTTGAGCCAGGACTTTTCAGCCCCTGTTATGTAAATGTTGCAGAGGCTTATTGGTGGAACCAAGTCGTTTTCACTGCTGAGCTAGCATCAGAGGTGGTGGCAGAATCATAACTGCGGATAAAAAAGGCGTCACTGTGAACATCGGGCAGAACAACGATGTGTGTGTTTGTGTGTGTGAATCTCCTACTGTTTGTATACACATCCTGCCTCGGGTGCTTTCGCAGCACTGTTACCAAATGTGATATCACACACTGACTGATAATTCAGATAATTTAACGTTAAACTACAAAGATGCAGTGACGGCTGACCTTTTTTTTTAATGGAGCTGCTGAAAACCTGCAATCAAAAAGGGCGCCTAATTGGTAGATGCACTTAAATGATTTCCCACCTGGGGAATTATGGTGCTATAGCAGCAAAAGGTTCTCAAAGCAATTCAGAGGGCAAGTAAATGTTGGTTTTCTTCATCATATATAAAATAAAATAAAAACATGTCTTTTGGTTTTGGACTCTTAACTTGCACTTTGTAGAAATCCTTTTGATGAGCAGTTTTTACTGTAAAAAAAATTAACTTAAGTAATTATTACAGCCTTACTTCTCTGAAAGTAGTTTTATATTTCTTAGAAAAGATAAATATTTCAATTAGAAGAATGAAAAAGCCATTTTTTCCAACAGCTGAACTATCTCATTAGGATGTTTTTGGAGAGCAGCTGCACTCACAGAAGGCTTTTTGTTGCATTAAAGACACTAATATAACAGAAAGAGGAAGAGTTTACATAAAAGGTTGCTTCAGTTTTCCCACTCTCTTAAATTTAGACGGCTGCTCCCCAGACAGCGTCCTGCACTCCTAAAATAGAGAGACTCTGCTGAAGCAGAAGTCGTGGGTATGCAGCCTTCGTCGAGTGAGTGATCTCTTTGACAAAACTCAGTAAAACGTCTGGCCAATCCAGCTGTGCAGTAATCGCACTAATTAGCCAGTCCAGTCAAACACAGCTTCGCTCTACAGCGTATTCAGCCCCCCGGCATACCATAATTCTCCCCCCCAGTGCTGCATATAATCTCATTGTCTGATGCCACACCCGCTGAACCCTGCACAAATACACTACAATATCCAATAAAAGCACATTTTCTGTCCATTATAGCAAGTCAAATTAGATAAAAACCCAGTGCTTTCATTTTTTAAGATGAATATAAACGGCCCCATTCATTCTTTAGGACAATGCTGATCCCATTAAACTGATTATTGATCCTGGATAAATCAATAGTAGATTAAACCACTGAATTGTAGTCAAACAAAGGCCGTAGCTTGTTCTCTGAAAGTACTGCGGCGGTTTGGGACCCTCAATCCGACAGCTCCTTTTTTTTTGTTCCTTTGTACTTATTCCAATACATAGAATCAGATTTAGTGTTCATATGCATAATTCCTTTGTCTATGAGACTTTAGGCGATTGTGTGTTTCCTTTCATCCTGTGAGTTTCATAAAAAAGTCACTGGAACTACTGTTGCATTTTTTTTTTTTTTTTTTGTTCAATTCCAACGCCAGAGCTGAATCCTTTGATTTCCTTTTTTCTTATTTAATCTGCTTCACTGCAGAGGGTTTGAATTTTGAGACAACAGAAGTTCCTTTTTATTCCCCTTCTGGTTTCTAGTTGGAATAAATTTTAAAAATTAGAAATAAAAGAACAGCCAACACGACGTGAGAATTATTTCAACAGATGCTTATCAGCTCTTTTATCTTAACCGTATTACGATACAAAAAGTGTCCTTTTAATTTACGTAATGATACAGTTAGAACATAATTTCTTCAATTTGAAATAATTATTGTATCAAAAACATTACAACAACAAACATACACAACTGTACAATTAAAGAAAACTCCTGATATTTCCAGGAGGAACTGTATATGTGAACGCAAACAGCCACATTTTTCACTCGGACTTTACCCCAAGTTTCTCCTACCAGACCATTAGGATTTTTTCCGCTTTAAGTCCTAGTGAGCTGATGTGAGAACACCGCAGGATATTCTCTGGAGAATTTACCTCGTGCCAATAGGAGGGTGACGCAAACTGTTTTGTTGACATTGTGATTCTGCTGAACTACACGTGGCATTGATAAAAACGACAAATATTCTCAAATATTTAGCATCGTATAGCGGACTCTGTTGCTTCGACTTCTAATTCCACGTCGTTTTTTTTCTTTTCGTTATGTATTATGTCAGGAGACCCCTCCCCCCTCGCGTCTGACAGGGATAGTCTCCCGCTGTGAGGAGCACATGTGAACAGCTAGGTCAAGAGAATATCGGGAGCAGTCCTCCAGAAATTATCTATCTTATTTTTTAGGAGTGTATATGTGAAAACGGCTCAAGAAACAGAAGAGGTATAGTAAGAACATTTACTCCAGTATGGTTCTGATAGAAAGTATATCTTTTTGAGGAATATTTAGGACCTGTTTCCTCTAACAGTTCAGCGTTTTCAGCGCTCAGCAATCCTGAGCGTGAAAACACCTTTATCTTCACCTTTAACAACTTTTGGAACACCACCTTGCTCAAGGATGTCACATCTCCCTCCCCGACAAGTCAAAATAAAGAGGGTGTGGAATCTGATAGGACCAGGACTCTTCCTTATAGGGTACACTTTCCAGGTCTCAAGCAACTGCTTATGCCCGGACATGATTCCTTTTTTTTTTTTTTTTTAAATGCTTCTTCGTCAAATTTCCTTGAATGAAAGCAAACATTGAGCATACAAAACAGTTTTAAACAGATTTTAATGATAACTACCAAGGGAAGCTGATGCTGCGAGGAAACCTATATGACTTAGCAGAAGTGATACCGGGGAGAAGCGCGCTGACATTGATGTCGTGGGCGAGCCAGCGCAAAAACTAGATATTTCTGATTTTTTTTTTCTTTAAAGTGTCTCTCTCGTACCTTCTCTTTGTACACCATAGATAAAGCATTTAGTGGAGAGTTTAAACAATCCCGACAACATATTGGCAGATATGATTTTTCTTCAACATGAACAGCTAAATGTTGTTGTTGTTGATGAAAGTTCCTTACATTAGGTTATAAAGACTGATGAAATGAAGCATAGACACCGATATCAAAAGATCATTTCTAAAGCTGTGTGTAATTTTGAAGTAAATGAGGAAGTTTAAAATATAAACTCTATCAAGTTGTGGAGTTTAATAACAGGATTGAATACCAAAGATTTTCCAAACAGAGGAGAATGGTATCCAGACTATCTGTACAAAAGAAGTGGACACTGCCTCATTTAGTAGTGTGAAAAGTGAAGCCAATGCACAAATGCCATAAACCTCAATTATCTTTAATGGCCACTAGGGGGAAACTCTCTGTTTGCAAAGGGAAGTCTGATTGTATAAAGGTTCAATACCAGAGTTAACAGTTACCTTATGAGTTTAAAGTCTCCTTTTTTCAAAATGTATTCCCATTTAGAATAAAAAAAATCGACCTCTGATGGTTTCGTGAGGGTGCTGTGGTTTTGTCTTTATCTCACTGTACAGTTTTGTGTTTTTTGTGTTGGACCCCCTCGAAAAACGAGATGGTTCATATCAAGGGGCTATCCATCAATCAACTGAATTTTCTGAATAAAATAAACAGTAAAACACTGAAAACTTAACTTCTTGGCTAACTTTGATCAAGGCAGTCTGTCAATTAGGATATGGACTTCAATGCAATCAATGACAGTATGTGTATTAACCAGCCAGTTTAGGATTGATAGAACATTTACTGAACATGGCAACAAATATTTGAATATTGCTGTTAAAAGCAATAGTTTGAAGTCATGACTATAGCTGAAGGAGTACAAAAGTCAGATTATATATTGTTTGTTTTTTGACCGATCCACAAAACCAATCCGATCTGTGACCAAAATCCGTGATCCGATCTGAACCGTGACATTGGAGAGACTTGTAACTCGTTGCACCACTATTATATTGTGTTTATTTTTAGCTCAAAAGAAACACAAGATAGGGACGTCCAAAATGCCAAACTCAGTGCTCTAAGTAACAGTTAACAAAGCAATGGTTAAAGTCACAGTGGTTACTTCTCCTTATTTTATAGTCTTTAGGTTACACAATGCC